GCAATTCTTCCTTTGTTGATTGGCTCCACTGGAGCGTCCTCTGACCTGGTAGTGTACTTAGGCCACTTGCTAACACAACCGAAAGATGACGAAAGCATCCAACATTTGCTTGCGACATTTCTATAGTCGGTGTAATGGGAAAATAACATCCCGGGACTAGTCATCACAATTAGGGGTGTAGATTACACGTCCTAAAATCAACAGTCCCGCATGTGACATGGCTGAAGGATGAGGCCAAAACGACAGTCGCTTGAAGGACGTCAGGGGACGTCGAGTAAACGGAAATCACAAGCGGGAGCCCTAGACGCTGGAAGAGTCCTCGGTCAATGATTCTTCATTGTAGCTAGCCGAGAGGTGTTTGGCAAAGAATGAAGTTGTGGCAGAAACTTTTGGTACGCGTTTGGCTCACGTAGACTTTGAAAGACAATTGACTGCTTAACTCGATGGACGTTCAGGTGAGTGACAAAAAGGGTGCACGGCAAAAAGGTTGCACTTAGAGTAGAGAAGTCTATCAGTTTGTTGCTGAATTTTAATTCAGACGACATTGATATTGTTCATAAAACCGGATTATTTTATTGTAGCAGTCACGATGCAAATCTGAGGTGCCAACATGCACCACTGTCGGGTTCGAAAAAAGCTGAATCGCTTAATTGCTTTGAGCTACCCAAATGCGTCCGAGACGGATGGGCAAAAATTACTGGCAGGGATGTTAAGTCTCAATGTTCCCAGGTCTTTGGTCCTACAGGTTCTCATTATACATCATGGGATTTTGGGCACATGGGAGAATTCTAGTACTTTGAAGAAATGACTTGAGATGACGAGTTTGGATTCAGAACGTAAGTCAGGGATAATTCTGCTAGTTTTTGCTTGCTGTGAACCTTATTAGCCTGAGCTGCTATACATGCACTTTCTTCCGATGTCCACTTTCCACTAACGGATAAGTCGTGCAGCCTATTATGCGGAAACTTGAGAACTTTGAGCAAAGTTTAGCGTGTGAATTTAAGAAATGACTTCCTTTAGGCATGCAAAGAAAACCATTTAAGTAGCGCTGATGTCCAGCGAGGATTGCCGCTCTGCAAGCAGTCCAATGTTTTGATTGTTAATTGACAAGAATTACAAATAAAACGCTTCGGGAATGTTTTGCTTACCGTGACTGTAATCAACGAATTTCCTGTGATGAGCACTGTCGGGTGACTGCGCGGAGGACTGAGATTTCTGCGTCTATGGCATTCTCTTTCGCGTGAGATTGCTGTCGCCCCTTTTGCTGTGTGCAAGCCCAGTGCATGTCTGTTGGACGGGGTTGTGTGTGCCACATGAGAGGGGCTGATTAGCCTTGTCAGCCACTTGGTCCCAGACACATCCTAGGCAGGATAGTTGCTTTATTCTCGACGTCCTTTCAACATTACTTAGACAGATATTTGCAGGTTATAATGAACTTTAAAATTGTCGTCACGAAAATCTGATGTCATGATAGGCTCCTGATAATCCACATTCAGACTGATAAATTCTTCGCATTGCCTTAAAAAGTAGCGAATTACCAAAATACGCCAAGTAGGAGAGGTGTTCGTTTCCAACAAGAAATACCGCTGTTCAAATAACTTAGTGCCCGAAGGATCTTTTCTTCCTTAATCGTAGGCTTTAGAGGGTGCTTTGATTTAAGAAGTTGTTTGCGATCGGAATAGCAACACTGCCAGCTGTTTGATTCTGGGAGAATTTGCAGTGGCCAGATTCCTTTGCGCCCGGTTCGGTACATTGGCTAACGCATAGTTAAATTACGTTTTCGGGGTAGGTGGACCAATGATGCAAATTTTATGTCAAAATCAATGACAAATCAGTGAACTTCATTGATGTCCACGACATGCATATCTTCCAAAAGTCACCCTCAAAATATTCTTAGCAAGCTTTGCCAATGATTCTCGAACTGCACACTATGTTGATTCCTTAGACCAAGCTTTTCAACGACTGCTGATTTTTGACCTGGTTTATTTTGTGCCGGCAAAAAAAAGTGCGTTACTATGAGGCCTTAAATTCCCCATCGTATGGATGTGCTGATAGGTCAGAAGAGTATACTAAACGGAAAACTTTAAGGCAATTCTGCCTCTAACATCTTGATCCCTGGTAGGTTTGAAAGACAGCTTCTAGTGTGATACTCCTGCTCCTAAGGCCTTGCTCTTTGGCTTTTAAAAGCTGTGTGACGTGTGTCAGTCTTGCCCTGGTTCGTTGGTCGCGTGGCCATCGTCGTCTGGATGATTGTTTTTTTTACGATGTTGAACATCCACCACCCCAGCCACCTGGGACTCCTCTGCCTTCTAGCTTCCCAACCACACAGGCGAGGAAGCCCTCGCAAATAAATGACAGTAAAAGCAGGAACCACCGAACAAACCATTAGTGTGCTGCGTCAGTCCATTGTGGATGTCAATTATTGTTACACAAAGTCGGTCTTTCTAGACAAATTCAGCTTTTCTATTGCAGCTATGTACGCTGAACGGCCGTCGATAGAGCGACGAAGGGTGAACGATGGAGCATATAGAAAAAGGGCGTTATCTTTGTTTGGGGAGTTCAATGTATCCTTCCGTAGACCTCACTTGTGTCTAGCATGTTTTGTTCTAATGTACGCTTTTCTGAGATAACCTGAATAACTATAAAATTGACTTTCTCATTCACTTTGGCCTACAGGTGGGAGGGCGAAATAACTAGAAGTCAAAATGAATAATGACGGGATGACATCCCCCTTGCAAGATTTGCTATTTGGCACACCCAGACATTGTGGTCTAGGTTTCGTAAAGGAGGTAAGAGTCACTTAAGCTGACCTGGTCCCAAGTGTAGGTGCAATGTGGGCATTGGAAGTAAAGTAAGCCGAAGAGAATGCTGAAGTCGATAGTGGGTAAGGTGGCCAAGACTGAGACGGAAAAGGCGACCAGATGTAGGACAAATCGGCCGCTAGATTGAAGGAAGCCTAGAACCTCCACAAAAAACCTGGCTGACGGGACACGCGGGGCAGAAATACTTCAAACCCAACGGTAAACCTAGTCGTTACCTCAAACGTAGGCTTAATCCTTAACGTAATTATAGACTTAGCGCTAACCCTAAACTTAACATTAAACCTAACCCCAAACCTACCACAAACCCTAGTCATAACCCCAAGCTCTACCTCCACCCTGACCCAAATCCTTACCCCGGCGTTGGCCTTTAAGCCAAACCTTAACCGTAACTCAAACCCTAACTCTGACAGTATCCATAACCCTAACCTTAATCGTAGCCGTACCCTAACCCCAATCCCAACGTTAACATCAGACGTAAACCCAAACCGCAATCCGAATCCGTAAACTGAGTCCATAAACCTCAAACTTAGTGCGAACGCTAACCTTAAACTCTATCTTCAGCCTGACACTAGCCCAAGCCCTAAAACTAGCCCTACCTCCTACCCAAAAAGCCAGGTTGCCCTTTTCCGTTTTAGCATTGCCTAGTTTCCCACTAACGATTTCAGCACCCTCTTTCGACTTACTTTACTTGCAATGCCCACACGGCGCTTATACTTGGGACCAGGACAGCAAGTAAATGCTCCACAGTTTGGAATATAGGCGAAAAACTTGGATGTAGAGTACAGTCTATTTCACTTATAAACTGAGGCAAATTTCCATTGCGTATAAGATAGAGCTGGCGCTCTCTGACATATGATGGAAAATAAGCTCCTGACAACTCTGTATACGTTCGTTTGTAACGGTGTAAGAACACTGATTAGAAGGATCATTCTCAAGTCTACAGCAGTACATTTAGTGAATTCCCTCCTAATTTTTAAATTGACATTTTTACGAATGTAAGTCTAGAATTTTTGTCATAAGTAAATGAAATTCGACACATTCATTTTACTTTATACAGAGGTTGACGTTTTCACGCCCGTCAGGCAAATTAACGCAGGCTGATGCCCCGAAATGATTTCAAAATCTGTTACTTAACGCCTTTTTAGATCGTAATAGTTAATTCCAGCGGGATATAGAGGATTGTTGGATTGCCTCTACTGGTAAAGTCTGCTAACTAATGATACAGATAAACTAAACGCGATGCCTTCAAGAGCTGACGCAGATAGTTAAGTCGCACTGGTGGACTGTGCCTGCAGTGGAGGCTGAATTTACTAGACCTCGATTTGGGGATTTTGTGCACAAAATGCAGTTGAGTTTCTAAAAATAATTAAACACGCATTTGGCGACCACATGACATAGCCTGCTTCAGACGATTGGTCTTTCCAGTTCCTCAATCACAATTGGCATATCACAGATCCGAACTCAATTGAAAGAAGCCTATGAGGTCGCTTTTTACCAAAAGGAAGCGATGAATTTAAGACCCAAAGGAAACTGGTTTGTCATGGAATGTGATGGATAAAATTGAATGGGAGTTCTTTGAGTTCCCCATGCACCATTGGTCTTGACCGTCCACCCGAAAGTTCGGCCGTCGTTTCTGTCGATGTTCACCGTGTGCTACGGCAGGGAGTTCGCTGGGGCGGTGGCTTGTGCGTGAGTTAGTTTATAGTTATATAAGACTTGCGCTGCATCTACCGCACTCTCCCCGCCTCCCCACCCGTGTCTGGTGCCATGTCTAAGTTGAGAATACCAGAGTCAGGGTCGGGCGTAGGAGGTCGGCGCGGCGTGAGCCTGCGTCTAGGAATGTCATGTATGGCATTTCCTATGACCACGCAACCCTGTAACGCGTGCCGGCTCTCCTGTTGGTCCAGCGCAACTCTCTCCTGGCCTGTTGTAAGTGGCACAACCACCCATCCACAGAAAATAACTCAGCATGTCTTTACTGCAGTCAAAGCATAGTCGACAAGCCAAACTGACAGCATTCAGCATCTAGAAGGTTTTACTAAAAGGATAAATCACAAAGAATTCAGGGAAAGTTGAATGAACTGCAGCGAAGGGAGTCAGTACGTCAAGTTATTTCACATGGTGAAAATAAACAGGGGACAGCCCTCTCTCCGGCCATGACGGTAACAGCGGAAGTATTCACACGAAACTAGTCTCCAGCTTCACTTGTTGTTGCAGCGTGGTGGTGCTTCGAGAGAGACACCTAGCCTGAAGGGCTCTAGCCAACTCTGCACCATTAGCAGTGACACCGTCGGAACAAGTACGCAGCTGCAAGTCTAGCTCAATGTCATCCTTCGAGTGACGCGTCCTGTCCACATTAGAGGGACGATCAAAGGTGTTCCTGCCTGGTTCCAGTTTATTTTGCAGCTTAAACTTTGCTCCATTGCCGGTCGGTGTGGTGGCCTCGTGAAGCAGAAGAGATGCCGGTGAGGGCGAGACGCCACTGATGAGATGCTGCATCGGGACATCAGTTCGGACAGTCAGCCCGGGGTGATACAGCGGGCTTGCCGCATTTTTGCCTGGCAACAAAGGCTGATAGACTTCCAGGCCGTTGAGAACAATCTGCGCAGGCAACTGCCCCTCAGGCAAGTGCAGGCGACCGTAGTGGTAAGTCTCCTGTTGGCTGAGACTGAGTAGGGGAGTGTTGGGTGACTGGGATGCGGGAACTGTGGTCGAGGACACCACAGCCGTCTGCTTGCCGGCGTCGTACTTTGTCTGGGGCCAGTCGTAGAAACCACTGTCAGGTGCAGGGTAGCACATCCTAACTTGTTTACCACCTTGTGAAGTGTCTGAAATAAAAAAGGTGGGAGAAATAGGCGAGGGAATTCCTTTTGTCGGATACGAAGCAACTCTTCAACAACTCAGCCCAGTAAGTTAATGAGCGGGAAGATAGTAAAGTTTTGTTGAGGTCATGATGGTTTCCTCTGCAAGAAAGGAGATTTTGGGTTGTCCTGTACCGGTTAATGCCGACGAAGCAAATCACATGCATAAAAGTGTGTATCACAGTCTTTAGGGTGTTGATGGAAATCAAAGTCATCTTCAAACATCCAGCGGCAGAGGAACTTGAATTAGTTTATTTTTAAAGCTATTATCTCGCGGAGAGTTCTAGAAAAGCGCTTGAAAACCCTGTTTTATTGATGCATATAATGTTGTGCAACGGTGAACCATGATTAAAGTTTACAATACTTTGGAATGGTTAGGAAAATGCTAATCCGAAGTTCTTGATAACCTTATCAGCATGTTGTTAAGGGTGGCCACTTGCAACGCTGAGTAGGGAGGGGGCGTTTTGTTTTCATATGGAACTTCAGTCTAGACCCCATCCATGAAGTCGCATGAGTGTGAGTAGGCGGTAATCGAAAAGTGCTACCGACAGAGACAGGATAGTCTAAATTACCACTTCGTGCCTATTTACTGTCAGCAGCCAGCAAAAACCAAATTCCATATCAGAAAGACCCAGCGCGCAAACGCAGGCTCCATGAGAATTTAGCATCGCTATAAATGCTATGTTATTCATCTACGGACCCACCTGCTTCTGGTTGCAATCTGCAGCATTCAGCAACTTAGGTATGGGTCTGTCGGATTACGGGATATGGCGCTTGTTATTCCATCTTATCTTCGAGCTCCACTCCCCGCTCTCTCTCTTCCCCTCTCTCTGAAAAATCCCCCTAATCCTGCTTCAGACACCAATCGTGACTCGTTAGTAAGGCAGGACCAAAAGGACTGGAGGTGGGGGTAGAGGATGAGGCGCAGTTTCTGAACCGCCACAAACATGTTGACCTAAAGATGTACGCAGTGAAGGCTTCGGTATATGGGATTTCCCGGGTGCGGGCAACGTTATAAACAACGGTCGTACAGGGAGAGATGTCTCACCCCAACACTCAGATCGTAGGAATTCAAAGGAACTACGAAAGGCCAGGAAGTGGCTACCTATTCCGAGTATTTTTGCGTCTGAACAAGCAGCACAGCATGTGTTCAGAGTTTGGATTTGAACTCCACAACTTGCAACTCTGAGAATCCTTTTTTATACTGAGATTCCGACAAATTCCCTTTTTTAATCTGGGGCAGTGTTTAATTCACCTTTAAGGAAAGTCATCAAAAATATTTTCATTAACATTAGTTGACCAATCTCAGGGTACGTAATACGCAAACTATCCTGAAAATCACTAACCCTACGCCTTATCAGGACTGCGCATGTTAAAATGCCATCTATAAACCTGACTTTTGGTCAACCAAATGGCGCAGGCTGTGAGAAAGCACGAATCAGTCCTCCGGATGATGGCTCTCTGACGCTGCGAGAGGAAAAGTAAGAATACTTTTCTGTCCCATTGACCGAATTAGAAATTAATGAACAAACTCACAACATATGCTTACGGAAGGTGCGGTCCTCAAAACCAATTAAATAAGCATTGTGGTTGCATCCCTTCGTTACCTGCGCCCGTTTCCCCTAGTACTTGAGATTAAGCTCTACAATATCATCCATTGACTAGAAACAACGCTCAGATGAATAATGTAAGAATATTCTTCAGCGAAGCCCACAGTTGGTTGAAGGCCGCTCATGCGGTGATTTTCATTTAATAAATGCGCCGTAGTGGTTGGCGGCTCAGTCGTCGACGTCATTATCAGCATCATCGTGTTCTGCTACGATGAGGGAGAAGCGGTAGACGCTTCCTGTTCAGCGGCAGTGGCATCAACCAGCCAGATTTGTTCTCCATGTTAAGGCCCTGCAATTCCATTTACACCTTAATTTCCGCTTTGACATTGGCTATAATGTCCGCGTGCAATCTCTGGCTCCCGCGATGAAGGCCTGACGATGGTGGGGTTAATGGTAGGAGCGAGCGTGGTGGTAGAGTTTGAACAAGAACGACAGGAAGCAGTCTTAGAGCGAGAGAGAGAGAGCTACCGGAGAGAACAAAAATCAGACCAGCCGGTGTGGTCACCAAGTCTCGTTCCCTCTTCCCCTTTCCTCCCCCCCGCCCGGCGTAACTAATGGACGGGAGGGAGTGAGGGAAGAACGGAAGTGTCTAGTCTGGGGGTGTCCAACAGACCACCATTCCGCGCGATGGTTGATGAAGCGAGAAGGGGACATTCACCTAGCATACCTCCGGTTACGTTGAGCGCTGCTGACTGTGGCTACCAGGGCAGTCGGCTAGTTGACCATGGGTAGTGATTTCCTCTCAGGTGCCTTTGCTCCAAGTCTTCGTTCTCCGACTTTCTCCTCCCAGTCCTTGTGATTTCATATTTGCATGCCACTGGATCATAATAAATAAACGGTTTTACTGTTTCCTTGTTTCTCGGTTAACCCCTGTCAGTCGTGTTTGAGAAAAGGACCATAGGGACCACTTCCAAAGTAGTTTGAGCCTCATTTTACCAACGCACCTGAAACGGGTCTTAGTTCATAACGGCAAATTGAATTCATAAAGAGTCTCAAGTGCCGGTAGGGTTTTAGTCAAGTTGCAAATTGTAATGAACGGATGCGCTTGAATTTTACTGGAGGATGCCAAGCGTTTCCAACTTCAGCCAAAGTACTCATATCCTCAGGGGGTGGGATTCAAGCAAGTGGTTCCGTTGAAAACCAAACATGTTATCTTCCTCAACTTACCTTGCGTCTCATGTGTCTATCTGTGGCAGCGAAAGGTCAGGTAAAGAGTAAAACCTAGCCGCGCTCTGAAATCGAACACAGTAGACAGTTTCAGCAGGCAATCTTGAACTGTTTAAATTTCTCACACACATTTGCAAGATTTTAATCTTTACTAACTCCTTTCGGCGGTTATTTCACAATCCACGGGTAAATGATTAGTGTTCATCTTGGTTTTCAAAGCCTGCCTGCTTCCAATCCCCCAGTCCTTCCTCGGGAGCTGGAGGTGGTCGATAGTAAATGCTCACAAAAGCGAGGTAGAATGAAGGCAAAGACAAGATGGTCCGGTCAGCCAGTCTTACTCAGCCATAGGCTTGAGGAAATCTGAGTCCCGAAACCTTGCTCTTTTGGCTATTACTTCAGCGCTCTAGCCACTGTGATAGGGGCTCTTTGTACTTCTTCTTTGGTAGAGTGCGACAGCCTATGGGACTATATCGAGTCCCAAAGCACAACAGTATGAGCACGTCCGTCAACGCGATCGCTGAGCGCCCTCTACCGTACTCGCAGAAGTCATTAAACTTTACCGAACCACTATGCTAGAGATTGGAAGTTGCTGCTGAGACCGCCCTATGCTTTTGCTGGCTCAATTCAGTGGTGCGCTGTTAATCCCTCCACAAAACATCTGGCAGCACTTTTCCGACTTTTAACGAGCAGCTGGTTGGGGGACTGTCCAAACATTAGTCGGGGCAGGCCAGGAGGCATATCAGACACGACATCTTCCAATAAACTATGCATGTTGAGCGCTTCAGTGTGGGGATGGCGCAGGGGAGGTATAGGGGAAGGGGTGAGAGGCCGTGTCGAAAACAAGGCTGATGAGTTGCAACTCAGCTTTTTGCCTGCATATGTGTGTGCGTTCTCTACTATCAGGCGAAATAAGTTGCTGGTGCCTCAAACTCCTCACACAACTCCGAATACCCTTACTGGAATTCCTTTCGCGCTCACCGAAGCCCGTCAGCGACCAAATCTGACAGTTGTAGCAACAGCGACAGTAGCATTTGGAGGAGGTTTATCGGTCCTTTGCGTGTGCCTGTCTGCGCGAGACCGACAAAGCTCGGGAAATTTTACCACTTTGCGTCTTTTCTAGAGTATTCCCACCCTCCTCGCCCCTCCCAGAATCCCGGCTTCTCCAATATCCTTTGTGGAGACAGATGGCAGTAGTAACGGTTGTGATGGATGGTCATGAAAAAAAACATTCAACAGACAACTATGCGCGCAGGGAAGCAGGCGGGTGATACGCAGTCAGCAGGCAGCATGGTATATATCTAAGTGTTCTACGCCGGAACTTAAAGGCACGCCATAGGCCTGCGCGACACGCAATAACCTACACCACCTCCTCCCTCTCCTCCTACTCCTCCTCCTCCTCGTTCGGTTCGCTGGGTTCTTATTGAGGAATTGATCGCGCCGTGCACATGAAATTTGGCGAGCACTGTGGTAGGCGCGCGTGGATACCTCCAAACATTTCTCTTATAATAGAATGAATTATGTGGCGATTTAACATTTAGGGATATTGAAACGCCTCCTGTTGCTGGCGCAAGTTGTGCCTGTGTCTTTGACCGCATTTTACATCCGAGCGAGAAATAAAGTGGACAACTGTGAGTTAGTTTCAAAGATCTAATGACATTTCATTCGATTCAGAGGGACAGTACCGTCTGAAACTCGGAACAACTTTATTCTGATAGGCTATGACCAGTATGCGGTATGGGACGAAGCTCGACTGCAGGCTTGGGTAGCGTAACTGCACTTGTCAGCTCTGTCAACTGACTTGTATCCCCTTTTTTATCACTCGCCGGGCAAGTTAATTTTCAGGTCTGCACGGAAAGTCTGTTTTACACAGAAGAGGTTCGCTTGTATTAGATTCACCTTCATCAGCTTGATCCCGTCTTTCAGAAGGAGATTCCGGAGACTGCCGGCTTATTCTCCCAACGCCAACTTTGGCAGAAGGGCTCAAATATTTTCAGCGATTGCTAAACTTGCCAGATTTTTCAAGTCCGATAAGAAGTCGATGTTGCCTGATATCCTCCAAATCTCCTAATGATCTTTTACCTGGCAGACACTGGGTGGCTTTTCGCGTAGGTTGAACGTAATGACTTTAAGAATAATACAGTTTTCGCTTACTGTTGATAAATTAAAAGTCGAACTGACTAGCCCTTCCTGTTCACAAATCACGATATTGTTCTCAGATTTATGCAAAAAATTTTTCCTTTCTGACGATGAAGACAAAAACTCACGTTTGACGGTAGAAAAACTAAAATATCCTTACTAACGAGATATCCATAAGAAGCCGATTCCAGATAGAGATAACATCGGAGATGGAAGCAGCGTATGCGGAAACATCGAAGGCATGCGATACTTACCCTGATAGGCCACACGAAGTGCCTTGGACTCGCAAGTGACTGGCAGCGTGGAGTTTAGTGAGAGACAGTTTGAAGGCACGACTCTGGAATACATATCTACGTTGTGTCCTTCCTCGCTGTCTCCATCTACTGCAGGTGTCATTCTACGTTTGCGGAAGGCAATCGTCACAAAAGTGCAGATGAGACCGAAGAGGACTGTGGTTGCGACCGCCAGACAGACTGTGGCTGCCCAGAAGGCGACTGGAGATGAGAAGAGAGTGAATCGTTCGTTTACAGTGTATGAGTCCCCATACACGGTGTTTTGAGTCTCGGATGGCAAAATGTGGCTGACAGATTCCGTTGGAGGAATACCGACGAAGCGAGCCTTGTTTGAGATGGCATCCGGCTGCCGCTAGAATTTTCCGCCGGACAGAAGTAACTGGTTAGAAGCGCAGTCAATTCTCGGAAGTTTATTAATATCCGATTACCCAGAATGGCGAGAGAGAGAAAAACAGATAAACAGCCCAGTCAGCAACACGTATTATCGGACGCTCGATGCCTGTTCTTAATATAAACATGTTTTGCAAGTGTCCAGCTTGCCGTATTGTTGAGATATGACGGCATAAAGAAACCTCAGCCGGATTGAGCGCACGGTGAAGATGTCTTAGGAGGTATCTCAACAAAAATAAGAAACTTGACAGAAGCAGTCATTACTTAAGTCAGTTAAATAAGGAATGATAACACCATGGAAGGAGCTCTCGCGCCAACTTCAATTTTCTTTTTTATGAAAAGCAAGCATGCTTCTGCCATAATGAGTATTCTCGCAGATAGGCTTATAACCCGTACTGAATGCCTTTCTTCCTTGGACGTTTGTTAAGAAATTATCCCCCGTCTATGCCTTAAATAAACTTTTCTCTCCGGTGTTTGGTCACTGTGACGATTGCGATTATTTCGTTTTCAGGTTGAACTAGGCTTGACGCTGATCCACGGGTGATGTTATACAGCGAAAGTTCATTGGCTCAAATGATAGGTAATGACTTTTAAGAGTGTTTAAATGATTTACTGGCTTACAGATTTGCTGTACACCTGCCGGAAGACCTGTGGAATCAAATAAGATAGTCTAGAGAGAAGACATCCGACACTCCAACCATCGTGTCCGACGATGTCCATAATGTGCTCCACAGATACAGTAGACGTATTAACTCATGAAATGTTAACCGAAATTCTGAAAGGCGTTTTCGACTCGAAAAGATTACTTAAGAAGGGTTGTGATACTAATCACTGTCCGGCATAATCTCATGATAATTCAGTTACTTCAGGGTGCCAGCTATTGGATAAAATTCTTTTCGGCCGCCTGCAAAAACCACACGGCGTAAAAATGGCAACTTAAGTAGTATGGATTTTTCTCATCGATTTTCGATGCCCCCATAAATTCATAAAATATTTCATAGAAAATACGGAGGAGGAGGATTTAAACATCGTTAACTCTCTTCAAGTACACGTGAATTATTATTGCGTGTTGCCTTTAGCAACACGTTTTCTAGTGGTCTGAGGGTCTTTTAGATGTCTGTCGTGAGAGCTCTATATCTTGCAATGAGGAGACATCAAAACTCTCCGGATGTGTTAAGCTTGACGACGAAAAATAAACCTCTTACGGGTGATACGGATGAATAAATAGTTAGGAGGGGATTGCTGCGACATTGCATTTATTCGGTACCCGCCCTCAGGGCACGCGGTTCGGCTGAATGTTGACGGCTACCTAGAACCACACTGGTGATAAACTTAATCTGCTTGTGAATATGACCCAACGGCTATTTGCCGGAGGCTATGGATGTCTTGGCGCAGTGACGCCAAGGATAATACCTTGGGGTTTGTGGCGCTCCCTCGATGTCCTCTGTCGTCGCTCGCCTCGACAGACCAAGGGGGGAGGCGCATGCTGAGTGGCGACTGGTGACGGGAAGGGACGCTGCGGGCACGTAGCACGCACGTGACCAACTGGCATAACGCCTTTCCAGAGGGAATAGCGGTAGCTGGCTCTGTGGGAGAGACACCAGTATGGAGACGCTTCTTCCGTGAGAAAGCGCCCATGTTGCATTATATTAGCCTCTCCACTACGCCAACGCTTATTTGCGGATTACTTTATGCACGACTTTCACGACAGTTTGATATAGCGAAAACAAAATTGAGTACAGAAAGCGACTACTCCACTTTTAAAAGTCATTCGTTTTCTATCTGGGACTACTTTCACGATTAAAATAAAACAGTCATTGCATAGAGTGAATGTTCAGGCATGGTCTGGAAAGAAAGTTTTCTCTGGACAAACCAAGGAAGTCGAGTCCCTCATGCATTTGTAAATGAATTCATATCGATTTACTGAAATTGGCCGTGTAATTCACTAACGACAATTAGTATTACGAGGAAAAGCATTATACCTACTAAGAATGGTCGGCAAGTATTGGTGGTTAATTGCCTTTAAATAAACTCCTGCATGCTGTGTCGAAATTTCACAGTTCTTGCGTATTCTCTGGCTAACCGACTGAGCCAGGCCTAACATGATACTTATGATTTTTCGGACAAGTTGTTCAGGAACTGTCAGCGTTGTTACTGACAGTTATCATGTCATTCGTATGCTTGTCACTGATTCGGGATTCCTAGTCAGGTTCTTCACTGCATCAAATCGGAAACCCAACGGTTGGCAATATTTTGCCTTACCCAAACACCGATACTACGAAATGGTGAAAATTGGGAGCATTCCTTTACGAGAACCGGGTGGTCAGTTTGTCAGCTCCTGAAAAAAATAAGCCTTAACGTGGTCGATCCGCTAGTTAATCACTGTGTCCTATTTGGTAATTAGTCATCCAAATTTGGTTCTACGAAAATATCGCATGCATTCACGAAGATAGAGTGAAAATCCCGAAGCACAAATCTTCCTAAATAAAAGCCACATTCAGTTCCTATAGTGACTCACCATAAAAATTTACACTTCTATTGCGGCTGGGTTCCTGGTTCTCGTACTGACAGACAAGGCTTGTTCTGGCCTTGTGACCTTTGACAGTACCAGACGAACAAACGCGAATGGCCGCAGGCGTTTGGGTTTTAAGCAGACGTGTTTACGGACGCATCGACACCTACTCTTAAGAAACATCCCTACTTGCACATTCTTCGTCTCGGGGCAGGGCCCAGTCCGGGGCATCGCCCATCTTTTAATTTTGGCCCAAGAGACTGCTAGTACCTGAAGCTTTTAAGATACAGTTAGAGTGATATTTTCTCGCGTAGGTACCCCTGTAGAAAAGACTGTCCAAATAAACTACTTCCCGTTATTTATTTTCGGAGGACTGACTGGGCTGGACCACCTATTTAACTCGCATCTGTTGACCCCGTCCGCTCCCATCATTAGATCGGGATCAACAGCTGGAGTATGTAAAGGCTGCCTTGTCAATCCTAGTCTTCAGAAGGTAGTTTATTTATATTACCGTTTCTAGATGGTAATCTGCGTACGCTGTCTGTACCGCAGAAAAAACAGGCGGTATTACTATTCAACTGTGCCAAAAATAAAAGACGACCAACCGCTCGCACTGGGCCATTACCTTGTCCATTTCAGTTTGACCCAGCCTCCCAGGAAGGGGGCATGCATCATCAGGAGTCAGGCCTGAACGGGAAACTTAAACCGGACGAGATTACTCCTAACGGCCAGCTGACCGTGACTGATTGGGGTCCCAGTCGAAACATTTTAAATTTGGAAGATATCGGCCCCAAATTTTCCCCTGAGATGACTTTGCTCCCTCCACCAGCTTCCAGTATATGCTTTCTTGCAAATAACCCACCGTCCAATCCAGCACCAAGGAAGGGAGAGCTTTCGTCAACAATGAACTGTCATGATCCCAGTTAATAATCCCTGGCCCCCGACAAATCTCGTCCCCGAGCAGTGGTAACTAAACTAAGTCTGAGGCGGATATAGGTTCTTCTGAGACAGGAACGTAAACGGTTTCTACCGTTCTTGCCTATAGAAATGGAACGGAAGTGTGGCTCTTTATCCAGTTGCTCCTGTTAATTCCTTGGACTCAAGTGACAGTAATGAATGAAGAGGAGGATTATTCGGCAGTAGTGGCCCACAATGAAACAGTTTGACAACTACACTACCTAGACGTGCTTGTAAAAACCGAATGTTGTAGATGCTTTCGAAGATAAAAGTTCTCCTAATAGGGCAAAACAAGGCGGATAATGACAATGCAAACTGTCGAATAATGGAAAAAAGTGAAAGCTGAAAAGTACTGAGAGGGATGAGAATAGGTCACTCATGCAAAAAATCTATTCATTGATAGGTCAGGGAATATGGACCTCCCATATTACCGGTGGTCCTACACAAAATTCGGGGAGGAACGGGATTATGACTAGGGCTTTGGGTGTTAGGGTTAGCGTTAGTACTATGGTTAGGAGTGTTAGGGGGGTAAGGTTGGGTGTTAGAGCTAGGGGTAAAGTTAAGACACGAGAATAAACACTAACTCTGGAATTTGGCGTAAAACCACCCCAAGTACTGGGTGGAACCATATTCCCACGTCTGATCTATTCGCCTAACGTCTGGCACTACTGCTGTTTGTTGCGATTCCGGGTATTCAGCTGCGTATCAGTCAAATTCTGCAAATGCTACAAACTACTGAATTATGAATCTGTCTCAGATGATCCAATCGAGTGTATATTTGGATCGTAGCGTAGACGAACTTCTATCCAAGCCATCAGATCGTTAGAAGTTCCCACTGTCATAGTACGGACGTCAGCAAACTCTATATTAGATTCTTTCGCCATATAACTGTCGTTAACCGCTATCAGATTTGGCACTACGCGGTAATGGAGTTGAAACCCATGTGTTTTCTACACGGTTACATATTCTAATTTTGGCGAAACTTAAAAATGGGCTAATTGGCTGCTCCTCTCCATTAACTTAAAACGAATGTTAAAGGGACCAGACAGACTACTTTTAAAAAGCCGCGAGCTTACTAGACAGTCGTCAGTTCTATGTCCAACGCGTAATCAATCCGTGAAACGTTGATACGCGAAACTAATGCAACGGTGTTGGCATTGGAGTGCTCAGATGCGACACGGCCGGTCGACCGACGCATAACAAGAGCTCAAGACACGGCTTTGGTCTTATTCTATCACCTTACCCATGAATACTAAGAGGGCGCTCGCCATCGGCCCATCGTATCACTACTCAAAGTTACCCCAGCTTACGGACCGGCAAAGTGGCTGTTTTCTTGTAGCAAACTTCAGACCGTTAATTTGGATGTTGCAGTCGGTTCGTCAAGACAATTCTTGGAGAACCTTGAAGACTGGGTCGCCTGCTACGCGAGGTCATTGTATCTTTCGACGTCATCTGCTTTTTACTTCTATTTCCGAAATCTGCCGGTCGACCCCTTCGGACTACACCTGTAAAGCAAACAGTATGAAGTGAAGAATCGCTTTCAACACAAACAAATCCTCTAACACCCCACGTTTTGTCTCGTGAAGTGCCTCACTTTCGACGAACAATCTGTAAGCAGGCAAAAGGCAAACCAATGGATTCACCGATTTTGGACAAGGGGATTCTGTAAAAGTTGAAGTCGCTGGACGTCAAATACCATAAAATGAAATTCTGAACGCGGCATGTCAGCAATACCTTGCGTATATTCGAGCGAGGTCGTGCGCTGACACCCCAGTTACCTCTTAACGCCGTCTTCCCGAATGTGTAATTTATGATGCAATAGAAAAACAAGCAGCTGGTCATCACTGATGTCCTCGTCTACCGCACAGGTTTTAATAGCCTTAAAGCTTAAGTCCGAGGGATTACCCAAAAACCATAATTATTTTCTGATGGCAAATGTGTTGGCAGTGTTGTCTTCTCCCGCTAGACATTCTTTGTGCTCAGTTGTCCAAGAAGCCGACGTAAGAACACATCGCAGCCGACAGAGTGATTGTTTTATTCGACTTCCACCCAACGCTCTCGGCAATTTTTGGATGGCAAACCGTAATCAGCAAAGTACCAATATGAAACTCCGTTTCTTGTTAAAGAAAACATCTGCAGAAATAGTTTCCATGCTTCAGAACGCAGATGGGAAGGAAGGCCTAAGCCAGGTAGAGATTTATGAATGGTTTGCCCGGTCAAGAAATAGCCAAATGCCGCTTGCAAATGGGCCCCGTTTGGGCCGCCCCTCGCAGCTGAAACTGTTCAAAAAGTTGGATCTTCGCAGAACAATCAACAATCCGGAGGAAATAAATGAAATTTTCCGGAGTTCATGCCCCAGAATCCTAACTGAAGATTGGAACACGAGACGCGTCGCGTCAGGCGAAGGACTGCCTGAGTGTACCGGGGATTGAAAGAACAGACAAAAAGTGACCTTGATTTTTTGTCAAAAGTCATCACAGGGGATGGATCATGGTGTTACGGCTATGATGGTGAAACAAAACAGCAGTTGAACCAATGGAAGACAGGTTCATCGTCCAGGCCAAAAGGCACGGAAAGTGAAAACAATTTTGAAGTCAACGATGATTTGCTTTTTTATCAAAGGAGGTGTTCATGCCAAATTTGTTCATTATGTCACCACAGAGAATAAATATTATTATCTGCAGTTGCTGGAACAATTACGTGAAGCAGTGGGAGAAATGACCTGAATTGTGCTGATTGGGGATTGGCTGCTTCATCATGACAACACGCCTGCCTGCACATCGTTTAAAATCAACCAGTTTTGGCGAAAAACGGCATGACCGCGGTTTCTCGCCCTCCTTACTTGCTCGATCTAGCCCCCGCGTTTTCTTCTTATTCCCAAGGATAAGGAATAACCTAAACGAAATGCGTCTTCAGGACGTTGAGAGCCCAAGAAAAAATCCCTGAGAACACTTAACGGCATTAGTTCGGAAGAATATAAGCATTCTTTCGAACATTGGACTGTATTTAGAAGGCGATTAATGTTTTATGACGATGTCCCAAATGAAAAATTAAATAAATAATTCATATTTTTGTGTGCCGCTCATATTCATGAAAACGACTAATACACCTCAAGTACTGAGCTACAGCAGCAACAGCCCAATCCGCCACACACATGCAATCGTATAAGGAGACTATACTGGCAAATTGAGGCATATTGTACTGAACCGGGGGGCAAGGTTAAAAAACTGAAATATATTCGGCGGGTCCTTAAAGCGAGTGATTACCTGCGCAATTTCGTCAATCGTTGTATACACAAACTAGACGAGAGAACAAATCTAACAGGTCCGGATTTTGGGTAGGTTTCATGTATGTCAGACCATTTTCACACGACCAGGATTCGAGGTTGCACACAGGTCGGAGGCAGCCGTAAGGTGCTGAGTCATGAGGCCGAAGGACCCATTGCCACGGCAGATGTCTGGCGTCATCTACTGGGTCTAGTGCAGTTATGGGCAATGAAACTATATTGGAAGAACTGTAAGGCTGAGTCAGAGGCCGATGGTCAAGCGCACAACACAAGTGAAGATGAGCGACGCCGGCTACCTGGTAAAGTCTCATTCGAAGGGCCCCAATCACACATTTAAGTTCGGTGGAGCCGAAATTCCTGCAATGGGTGGAAATCGCGTAGGTTGCGAACTTTTCGAGCCATGATTGTCTGGCTCTCAGTCGAATAGAAAGCTCAATGTCGGTCTCGCTCTATATTCTGTGGTGAGACTTTGCAAAGACAGAGTAATTAGCCACGCGGAGTTCGCTCGTGCAAGCACTGTTTTCAGTGATATTGTAGGTGAGACAAATGGCCTAAGAACCTACATGACTTATGCGATTTCGGCAGTCAATGCCTTGACTGCAGACAAACAAGCATTTGTCATACTATGTGAAACTGTCTGTGATGAATTGGGAAGTCGTCAGTTTTGAAAGGTATGTTGTGGCATATCAGTCGCATTCTGTAAAAACTGCAGCACCTGTGAAACACAATACCTTTATCAACTTCTGCCACAGATGATGCATTTGCGTATTAGTCCCAAACGTCAGCCGAACAAAGTGCTTGATTTTCAGAATTGGCCATTTCTCTCTGGACAATCGTATCGTTAAATGGCCCTTCAACCTACGGACTGGAAAGTGGCTGTTTCGACGTCACAGGCTTCTGACCTCCGATGCCAACACCACAGTCAGCTCGTCAACACAATTATTGGAGAAACTTGAATCGCTAAGCCCTCTGAGAGGCGACGTCGTGGCATTTTTGATGTCACATCCATGTTTACTTCTAGCCCTCATGACCTGGCAATCGAGACCATCAAGCTACTCCTACGAGACAGGTACGATGAAACGGAGAATCTCCTCGAAAACGGTCAAATCCTCCAACTCCTGAAGTTCTTTTTTAAGACATACTTCACTCTTGAAGTAACAATCTACGAGCAGGTGTGGAACACGCCAATAAGATCGCGAACTTCAGGACTCATATCCAAGGCGGTCCCACGACGGTTGAAATCGCTTGTTTTCCGACACCACAAACCGAACTTTTGGGCTCGATATGTGGACGATACCCACTTCGTCATCGAACGGGATCAGGTGTTAAAATTCAAAGAACGTCTCAACGCCGTCTTCCCAGACATTCAGTTTACGATGGAGGCAACGGAAAACAACCAGCTGGCCTTCCTTGATGTTTTCGTTGGCCATAAAAATTGTGGTGGCCTGAAAGACAAGGTGTTCAGGAAAGTGACAAAGGCGACGCAAGTACTGAATTTCAGCAAACAGTCACAAAGGCAGTTTCGTAAAGGCGCTATGCCAGCACGCCGGATTCATTGCAGTGAACTGAAAGATCAGGTTGCTGAATTACAATACCTTCGACGGGTACTGAGGGCTAATGGCTACCCGCACAAATTTGCCAAAAAGTAAGTATGCAAACAAAACCAGAGACCAAGTCTCATCTGCACATGAGGACCGTCTCCGCAGTTGTCAGCCGCCTTCTTATTCCACTTGGAGTTGGGGTTGCACACAGGCCGGATGCAACTATCAAGCGCCATGTCATGAGGTTTACGGACCCACTGTCGCAGTAGGAAACGTCTGTGGTCGTTTAACGGATGTGGTACAGTTGAGGACAGGGCAACCACGTCAGAGAAACTTGGAGATCACTCCAGACACAGGTGGCCGAGCACGCAACAGCGATAAGGAGGGAAGACGCGAGTTCTCAGGTGGCGGCTCATTCCACTGAACCCGGCCATATTTTCGAGTGGCCGAAGTCCTCGCAAGAGCTGACAGCTGCGTGATTCGCAAGCTGTTCGAATCATGGTCCTCAGGCCCGCAATCCATCAATAAGCTCAACGAGCTCCAGGTATCATAATCGGTGCTGAGACATTCTCTGAGCAGGGGAATCAGTGAGTCGGGGGGGAGGGGAGCAGGCAAGCAACAATCCCGGTGACAGCGGGCCAAATTACCGAGTCATCATCAAACCAACATCTACCGCGGATGATGAAATTGCAGCAATTAACGACTCGGACGAGCCATAGTCGCCTCAATTAAGACCCCAGCGGTGATCCTGAGAGCTGTGAATTATAGTACGCATGTGGCCCCACGCCAGATAGGTACTATAAATACTGCAGTCTTTGCGCCACCACTGCCCTTATGTGCGACAGTCTCTGATGATGGGTTTAAATACGGACTCGGAACGTCAAACCAGTAACCTTTTTTGTTTCGCTGATCGCATCTGCTTCTGAACCGTCCCCTGGAACTCGCTTGTATCGACGAACTCTTATTTTACTGTCGCTACTCTCCCACCCCTTCGGAACTGCATTCAAATCAGCAATTCATGTAGAAAAATCTGAAAGTATTACCTTCTTGTCACATTCTTCCATGTATTTTCAAATTCTAACTTTTGCCCATTTTTGTTGTTCGGACATCTAAGACTACCACTGAATAAAAGTATGGGTAGATAATTCGGCCCTGTTTAACTGCCTTAAGTCGCAATCACAAAGTGTAGGTTATAAATGAGTCCATGATTTTGTGTTTTCTTCCAGCTTTGTGAGCTCAGAAAGGTACATATGCGGACCCTTGCTTGATAACTCTTGTTAAGTTGTTGCAAATTTTTAAAATGGACAATTAAGTTGAACTCTTACAGTCCTGGTTGCCACATCAGTGTCCGTTGTTATAATTCGAACGTAGATCTGCGCAGCAGCTGAGAGTGAGGGAACGCCCTTGTCCTTGGCTGTAATGATCAGGCTGTACTTTCCCAACTCCCTGTTTACTAGCAGCTGGTCCTGCCGGAGTGCCTGACAGCGCAGCGAGAGGCCATCAGCAGCAACAAGACTGACCTCACCGGAACGTGGTTCAATATCGAACCAGGGCAGGTCGTATTCGCGACTCCTGGAAGAAGAGGCGACTTGTTTGTGAGTTACTGTCCCTTCCTGGCGCATAAGTGGGCGACTTCCGAGGACAGGAGATGAGGAAGTGGGGGCTGGTAACTTCGAATCGTCAACTGCGAGTTGTTGGGTGGACGAAGAACCTGCGTCAGGGATATCTTTGTTAAAGCTGATGGAATACTCGATTTCAGCGTTGAGACCCTTGTCCGAATCGTTGGCAACCACCTGAATGACCACCTTTGGCAGCGTCAGGATATCAGTGCATGTCAAGGTAACTGTGCCCTAAAAGACAGCATGTCAATTGGTCAAATCAGCAGTTCCTTCCAGCAGTTCAACTTTACATCCTATTCGTGGGTCGGTTTCAATCAGTCCTCCTGATATCATCTTGTCTTTTGGGAATGGGAGACTATTTCATGTTTGTTTTCCAGGTTTTTTAAAAAAACTAGTGAACTTTCCGTAAGAGACCCTAATATGGATGAGGAGTTTGCATAAACAGAAAGATTTCACTCAGGTTGCTACAGTTCAGGGATGCGATTTGAGAGCTATATTGTAAACTTAAGAAGCAGTATTAGAAAATGCAGAGGCACGATGATTCATTAACGGACGTTTCTCAGTTTCAAAATCTCATAATTATAAACTTTCTTAAGGCCAAATTATACACTTCCATCAAGAAAAAATTTGAAAAAGACCTACCTGTTATCCAATGAGTAAAAGAATATATATTTTCACCTATGTTTTCTATGAAATGTATTTGAATTTATAACGGTATCGAAAATCGATGAGAAAAATTCATAATACATAAATAGTCATTTTTTACAGAGTGTAGTTTTTGCGAGCGGTCTGAAAGAAGTTCGTTCAAAAGCTGGCGTCCCGCAGCAACTTAAATATCTTTGAATTATGCTGGATGTTGATTAATAGTACAACCCTATTTAAGTAATCTTTTACAGCCGAAAATGCTTTTCAGAATTTCGGCAAACATTTCATGAGTTAGCACGCCCACTGTATATGCTTCAATTGCTGAAACGTATTCCGAAATTTGTTCGTATTCCCTCTTGATATTTCACAAAAGAGACACTCCCACACAAACCAAGATTTACGAAAAATTGCAAAACATCTTTCATAGATGGTCAGCATTTGTCCATTAGAGTGGGAACGATAACAGTCGGGAGATGGCACCCAAAAAATCCGCCTAACCAAAGCAGCCTGTCTTACGGGACAGGTGGTAATAGGGGTTTTATGGGTGGTGGCTGGTCGGAATGTACGATACAAGCCGGCGGAAAGCTGGTCCGCTTTCCGTTCCGTTATTACAAAATGGGTCGCCAAAGGCAGCATAGTAGTAATCGACGAGTGGAAGGCGTGTAATCGTCTTCCCTCAGAAGGTTATCTGCATTTCTCTGTTAACCACTCAAAGACATTCAAGGATCCTACCACCGGACGGCACACTAATGCCAGTGAGGCATACTGGAGTAGGCTGAAAAGGAAACTCTACGAGGAAGGCCCTGTATGTGATCGAGCTCTGTGGGCTCACATAGACGAAGTACAGTATCGTCTTTGGCTTGACCTCAATGCCATGTCTTTGACAGATGCCTGGGAACTGTTCCTGTCCCGTGTTGTGCAGACTTATTCTATTTAAAAGTGATTTTGTTTTGTAATAAACTGCCATAACGCGAATGCATGTAGTATATTCAGGTGTGCGTGTGTAACAATGGGGAAGGTTGGGTAACAGCGACCATCGTTCATGTAACCTCCTGCAATGTTCGTTCGGCCAGCCCATGTTAGGCCGTCGGGGAATGTCCAAGTAGTTCGTGATAGTCGGCCTGCAACCGCTGATATAGCTTGCAGGCGTTTCAGTCCACTGTTAAAGGTATTATTTCTAGGTAACGGATTTTTTTGGGTGCCATCCCCCGATTGTTACATAGGCCTGGAGACCCTGGACGCAGTAGGATTGCAATCTACTCGAAAGGTTAGAGAGGCGAATCACAGAACTAGTAAGAGGTCAGAGTACACTGCCTTATCAGACCTGCCTGAATAACCTCAAAGTCTATCCTCTGAGTTATAGGCAGTCACGGGAGGATTTGATACAAACTATCCGTATCGTGCATGGCTTGGACTGCGTCCCCCGGTGAGACGACTTTTTACAACTTGCCACGACAAATAACCTCCGGATACGCCCCTTCGAACTACGTGTTCCCAAAGGATGTGAAAAAGTATTTTTTCTCAAACCGTGTCGTGGAACCGTGGAATAACCTGCCCAAGGGGATGGAAACGTCTCCGTCTGTGGAGACATTTAAATATCGTCTGGACAGAGATCTATTGCACCAGCAAGTGGGCTATTTGGCTTTGCATCCAGAAAAACCAATGCGCTATAGGAATCGATGTCTGTATTAACTTGTTGCTTGAACTTCTTCATGTTGTTGCATATTTTTTGATTTTTATATAAAAATAGGGAAAAGGCGGAAGCCTATTTTCCTCAAATATACTGACTGACACTGACTAAGAAGGAAACCATTAGCACGCAAAATATGATGGCATAAATGAAATGTTGAGGTTTTTCAAACCAACTATCTTACAATTTACTAGTCTACCCACGTTCGGAAAATGCATTTTTGGAATTCATTTCCCTGCATTTTTTTTCTTCAACCTTGCAATTTTAGTCCCTGCAACTCTGTGAAGACAACATCAATAACGCTTGACAGTTGGCGGAACAGAACTACAAATGTATGGACGTCATGCAAAACACCAGGGCATGAATCGGTCAATATTTAAAAAAGCCTGCTTGATAAATCCAAAGCGTTGCCTGCAAGACAGCTGGCGTCATCTCCCATGGAACCATATTTCGCATGGCTCTGCGAAAGGCTGTTGAGGTGCCAGTTAGTAGTACGGCACTCGGAAAAACCCCTGTACGCTTATCATCTTCCGCCCGTGGCCTTCTCCTATTTGAATATTTTCGTTTACATTCTTAAATCTGGAGGTGCATTTGGATGGACACCGAATATGCCAGGCGGGAAACATCTTCGAAACGGTGGATTGGTGTCTGTCGTCAGTGAAATTCCGATGAATGTTCTCCAAACTTTGGTTCATTGGACTCATGTGCGATTGTTGGTTTAAAAAGGTACACCGGGTTGAGATAATTCTGCAACCCGCAGCCGTTGGAGTTTAGCAAACATAACAGACCTTGGTGGCATTAAGGAGGTTTAGTCTGTCACTAAATGACAGAATGAAAGCTTTTTGCACTTCAGTGAACTGGAGCCCGGACACGTGGTTGAGCGGAACCAGAACACGTACATTCTACACTTCTGTACGTAGGTTCACCGAGGGTGCACCTGCTTAGTCGTGATTCTTTGCCATTGTTATTTGCTTAACCGCTGCACGAGAGAAGCTTTACGTCGTCGAGGTGTGTAGAAGTTATATTCTGCGCCCTAATGCAGCCAAAACTTTATTCTGGCTAATTATCAGACGGAATCTTAATGGAGCTGAACATGGGAGAAGTGACGGCGTTCCCAGCATTGTCTGAAATGTGTACTTGATACGTCCTCAGGGCCATTTACCTGTTGGCAGTTTCTCTTTTATCGCTTAATTTCCTAAAATACTAAAAAGGGCAGTCTAGAATTGTTTCGGTTAAAATGCATATATACATCAATCTTCCCTAGATTATTATACCTTTTAGGCAGAATCAACTAACTCGCGGGTACTAGACTGCATGGGCAGCCATGAAACGATCACGAAAGCCCTAACACTTACACTCTGAAATTAAAACATCCATCAAGTTCTAAATCTGATTAGGACTTGACAAAAATAAGTTTGTGAAACAATATCACTACCAATCTCTTAAATGGAATATTGGTATTGCTACTCGAGCACTAACTACCGATAGAGTAATACTCGCTTTGCGCGGGATTCGCACATGAGGCTTAGTGAAACTCCAACCAAAATCTAGCGTGCTACCGTTTATGAATTTGTTAAAAAGGAACAGGGGCGTCCACCGGGAGGGGTTTATTTGAGGTCCGACGTTTCGAGTAGTTCATTCGTCTACCCATCTTCAGAGACTGGTAAGTCCTGTGCACAGCTCCCCTTATAATGACACCTTTTGTCAAATGCGTGATCCGCCAATGCCGCCTGTGTGGCTGCATCCAACCCGCATGTCACCGTGACCTGAATCGCCCCCGTAGGCCGCGGTGATGACTGACGGCCCCGATTGTCGCGCGCCGTGACTGTCCCCCGCTAAGAAGGTTCGCAAAGTCTGATAGGGGGGAGACAAATTGATGTGGCGGTTGACAGAGCGGTCGGTGGACATCCAGGCTTCTTGCACTTGCCTTGCTGTGTGATCGCCGCCCCGGCCCACAAGCTCAACGACGTCAAAGTTGGAGATGTGTCCCATTTGCGCGGCATGGGTTGCTACGTCCGACTTTGGGTCCTACCTTCGCACGGCTAACTTATGCTCGTGCATTCGCGTTTGCAGCCGTCGGCCGGTTTCCCCAACGTAGTTGCACCTTCCGCAGCTGCATTGAAGTCGGTAGACAACGGCCGACATCTTCTGCTTAGGGATCGGATCTTTTGGCCGCATCACTTGCCGGCGGATTGTTGAGTCAGGCCTGTGGGCAACACCTATTCCGAGTGGCGCGAGTGATCGAGCCACGGCTTTGGAGACCCCCTTGATGTACGGAATGCTCCGCCACGAGTTTGACTGACTATGCTCTTCGTTCCGTTTCTTTGGCTGCCTTCGGCTCCGTTCAATGAATGCCCGCGGATAGTACCTTTGTATTGGTTAGTAAATCGTATCCGGTCATGTTCAAATGCATAATGCGGGCGTTTTCACGCATATTGGGCATCCAGGACTTATTTATCCCCTGACCCTTAGTCTGCCCACTGATTATCACCGCGACAGATGATTAACCTGGGCTTTGGCCAATCACTTGCAAGTATCTTGTGCAGATTGCAATGGAGCGAACAAACCACAAAATAATGCTTACAGCGCCACTGGAGAAGACTATGAAGGAGCCATTCCGTGAATGACCAAAGGCTCTTCCACCAAAAACTGCGAAAATCTGTCCTTAACTGAACGTACTCGAAAAAATCCAGTCCCCCCTCCCCCCCCCCTAATGGAGAACGCTGTGAGTGCAATTGAATAAAATGGCGACGCATTTGCCCGCGTCTATCGTGCAACTAGAGTTTCCATGCGCTCCCAGCTGCGGCTGTGGGTGCACGCGGCACACCTAAGACGGAGGTTTCAACGTCAGGTTAGTCACTGCACCTGCATTCATCACCACCTACCTGACAGACCAGCACGGACTGGTCATGCATGCGAAAAGGAATAAGGAGTGAGGCCGATATTGAGGATTCTATTCTTAGGGAACATCATCGCATTCTACATCACGACAACTCTGAGGCATTTGGACTTGTACAGACCTGCTGCTAAGCTAGTCTGCAATTACTGTCCGTTACCGCAGTGTACTTGAGTGAATTCATAGTCCTCACCAAATTAAACCTAGCATGCACGAAATCAGATGCCAGGTGGTGTGAGGCACGTGTAGCGAAAGCGCTTAGCTTTATCCGTAGATGTGCTCGTTATCATCATGGGTTACCCTGACTTTGTCTTATTATTAAAAGATGGTTACTGATTTGAAAGAGAGGGGGAGGTAGGTGCTTTGGAAACCTTCATCAGTATAAACATTTCATGTAATAACCAGGGCTGCACCAACCGGAGTGATGGTGATGAACTTCGCTGCCTGCGGTGGTCTAGCTGTCTAGCTGTAGTCGCAAAAAATGCCACGCATCCAGCATCCTCGTCTAACTTCAGGAATTCGGAACATGTGCGTGCAAACGGTGTAGAAGAATTTTCCTGAAAACAGTTCAGTTAAGTATAAAGTTATTTTTATTGATTATACGCTCAATTGATGCTCTCTGGTCGTTCAATCACGGAGGGGAATTTGAGAAAAGCACTTTGAAACGTGCTACGGATACAGAATGGTTGCAATTTACAGGTTTTTCAATCGTCGCATGCGTTTGTGCTCCCATTTAAATAAGGACATTGCATTCCAATTGTTGCATGAACCTTTATTTCGAACCACATTATTTAGATGAAGAACAGACCTGGTTTGGCGGGTAACACTTTGCGGTTCAATGCCACGTTTTGGCGAAAGGACAGAAGAGCTCTGTTTATGGCCCGAACTCTATTAATATTGACAGTTGTGCCGAGGAATACAGAGGTAAGCCGACCAGGTCACTCGGATATAAGTCCTCCACCGCGAGGCTTTGACTAAAGGGCTACTCTCAAAGATGAACTTTGGTCCAACTTTTCGCACTAACCCGAAAGTTCAGAGGCGCATCATAATGATAACCTCCCCAGTTCTATTTCTGTGATCTCAAATAAGCATTCCTAGTTGGCAGAGTAGAAAACAATTAAAAAATTTAAAAGCACATATTACAATTTTCGGAATATTTCAATTGATTCTCTCAAACAAGAATCTTACTGCATTGGGTTTGATAAAACAGTAGTCCCGCACGCCGGATTCGGGAAGTAATGTTGAAATCTGTGAGCTATATGGGTAACGATGACCTCAAATGATTTTGCCTCTATCCTGCAACTGTTACTTTTTTAAATAGACTCAGCGGACACATATACAAGGAACGTGGGCTTACCAGTCCATTTTTGGGATAGATAAATGTTGGCGCATTGTCATTCTCATCGAGCACATTGATTTGAACAGTTGTCTGAGTCGTAAGCCGAATGGAGTTCTGCCGCATATTGGTCACCGGCGGGGAAACAAGAGAGCCGGCTGTGAGTGCTGGTTTGCCATCCACCACTTCAATCAGGAGTTCAAATATTTCTCTCTCTTCACGATCCAAGCCACGGGCTCCCACTGTAATTGTACCCGTCGTTGAGTTAATCTGACAAAAGCAATATGAAGGCAAGCATACATCATTTTCTGGGTGAAATTTTCGGCTTTTATCGTATTATTTTAGCAGACTGAGTAGGGTGGTTATCCTTGGATAATCGTTTTCTAGAATACAAACGATGCTGTCCACATAAACTATAACTTATAATCATCAAATAAGGTAGTTACTTCGCGTCCTTAGCAGTAAATATCCAGCTAGGAAAGGAGCAGATGATGACATTGTACAGATATCGAACAAAACATTAAGAGTGTATAAGGTCAGTAATAGGAGTTAACCATTGAAAGAATCCCTTAAGCTACTGCCAAAGCACTCGTCTCACATAAGGACGAAATATTGAAATGTGTCGGAAAAAGGAGGCTGTTGTAAAGAGAAGTGTGCAAATAGAATACAGAAAACTTTTGCTTTTAATGCTGGAAATAGTTACAGTGTGTCTGATTATTCGTTTTCTTTCAACATATACTAAAATATTCCGTGTGTAAGTTTTGATGAGCGAACCTGACGATTTCAAAATCGTGCCTAATGTGGTACTCTAGAGCAAGTAGTAATCCTGACTGTTGCCTTTTAGGCCAGCATGCTTCCGTATTGTATGTCTGTGCTAAGACAGACGTATGGTAGATGCGGTGAGAAATATTCATGGCCTGATCTCGCAGCGTCTAACCACAAGCAGTGGCCCAGTGCTGGAATCCAGGTTCGTGATGAGTGAGTCAAAATAAAAAAAAGAGAGGAAAGGTACGGTGTCTGCCTTTCACGCAGGCTCACTCTAAATCCGTATAAAAATGCTCAAGAAAATAGAAATTGCTTCTTGGCTCAAACATTCCGCTACCCAAATAAGCAGATATTCACTATTCGTTTTGCTGACATATCAAGGTTTTATGTTTGTTGGTTAACCGGACTTTTTCGAGAAAGAGCATGCTTACTTGCAACACCTGTTCCGCGTACCATCTGGGTTGGATTATTGCGCATGTCAACTTGGGCAAACATTATAGTCCAGGTACTAACACTTTTCGCTCCAACTAGCATACTCAATTTTCTTAGAATCACGTTAGTCAATAAACTGTCAGCCGATATCTTTTGGGTATAGTTTTACGTAATGCCTGATTTACATCTTTGTCTTTAAGTGACCGTGAACTCTTTCCCTTCAGATGGCAGTTGTTTTTAAAGACATCGTCAGACAGTCCGAGAAAGGGAAATTTAAGAATACAGAGTGGCCATTTTGTCAGGTTGAGCTTGTGCTCATTAAGAACTGAAGACAAATAAAAAGGCGACCCATTTGTTACTAAATGATGGGTGGCGCCTATTCGCGAAAGGTGGTTTTGAACGAGTTCAGCATCCACCTTATTTCTAGGCACTGTGCGGATACAGACAAATGATTAAAAACCCAAATCTCCACACTCTTTTCGTTCAATCACAAATAACTGTAAATCGATTACTACCGGGTGTGATAAAACAAATGTGCAAACTAAGAATGTATTCAATATTTTCGACTCAATATAGCTTAGAAAGAAGAATATTGATTGCGAATCATGGTTTTTTTATTCTTACAAAGCCAGTTAAGAAAAACACAAAAAGACATAAATTTCTGGTTTCCCGAAAACAGCTTCTTCATCGCAGCTAAAACGGTTAAGTGTTTCAGAAATTTCTTCAAGTTAGTGGTTTGAATTTAGAAAACATTTTGTATGACAACTGAAACCCATCATGCAATCTCCAGGGGAGTTGAACCAGGGCAGTTATCAGACGGAGTATGTAGTTAAAAGTTCTTACTCCCGTCCACGTGGAAATCCAGTCTATTCTTATTCAATAACTTTTTATTTTTGGATCGTCCAATATGTACTATCAGTAAACTACCCTGTTTGCTATCACGTTCTCTAGGGCTGAATGTCCACAATTTTAGCTTACCTGCGTTTAGACATGGAAATCTATTTAGAACTTCCTGTACATTGTCAGGACATATGTCACTGCTATAAGAATTTCTGACATATGAACAGTTTTGGGAATTAGATGTCTGTCAAAGAAATAAATACAAACGCTTAAACTTCTACTCTACCACAATCTATCTTAGAGACATCACAGAAAATCAGACTTGTGGTCAAATATCGAACTTATGGTATTTTTCATTGCGATGTTTTGTCTGAAAGCAGCATTCCAAATTCTCTGGCAGTCATATGCCTTTCCTTTTAACTTTACCATTCAGACGAGCTCGTGAGCATCCATTCATAAAAACCAGTCGATGTTTTAAAAATCAGTCTAAACATGCATCCCTTATCAAAGGGACAATATCATTTGACATTATCTGACAGCACACTCAGCAGTTACACCATAATAATGGCTTTTGAGCTCGATCTCGTTCACGTCTTTCAGAAACTTCTGGTCCGCTCGCGTCGTGTTTTAAATCATCACAGCGAGCTCTGACATAAAGGAACAATGTCAGGTAGGTAAATATTCATGTCCACCTTTCCGGAAATCCCTTTTGAGTATGTGGAAAACACTGCTGTCAGTTAAAAGGAACAGATGCCCTCTGTTGTTATCTGTTCCTTTGCTTTTGACCAACATCAGGCAGAGTGTTTAGTCTTTTTATTTCCAAAAACAGAAATGGTTCGGATCAAGTAATTATTTTCAGCACATCTATCTGCAGGAGGTAGTTTCATCGTCAGCAAACTTTTAAGGCAGTTTAGACGGAGTTTACAAATTCAAGTAGCCCGGGCGTCTGTAATTTTGCAATATGTTTGGGGCAGACTCTGTGCAAACTGCGACCAAGACAATGCCCAAAAGAAGAACATTTTAAACAGATAATTCAAAGATGCTTTGGCAAATGCTGAATAATTCATACCCTTACTGCGTGGGTTCAAATCCCACCGAGGCGCCAAGTTTTTCACAGTTGGGTCAATATGAAACAGATAATTGCATTCTCAAAGCAATCTGCCCCTTCATTACAGGATTAGGAGTTGCCGACTGAACAGGAATATGTGTAAGCCGACATTTGTGTCGTAATTTTGCATAGCTTTCGAATAAGAATTCTTCGATTAAGATAAGAAAAATAAGTATCTAAAAGGCAAGAACAGAAGCTGATTTTTAGTTTACCCATCCGCCTTCAGGTTTCAGTCGCCATACTTCTGTTCATAGCCAAGCAAAGCCTATTTTTGATGAGGCGAGTTTCTGGGCTAGCAACAAAGGGCTAAGCTTAATATGTGACCTGATGGTGAACGTGCGTTTTATGACTTCACCCAGTTCTGAGGCTGAAATATCGAGTGAAAGCAAAAAGCTTACCGTTAACTCATGTTAAAATTTGGAAAACCTAGAATAATATCCATAATCTCTAGGGAATGCTTATGTCCGTGGGGTCCTCAAAAAACGGCTTAGGCCTTAAGGGGGGATACATTCCGGTATATTTACTGGCACTGCGGACGTTGTTATCTGTTAAAGGCCTCAGTAAGAGTCGTTGTTGCACGTAATATTTTAAGATCAGAAAATGCGTATGCATATCCATCTGTAGCCGCGACGAACTAGAAAAAACTAGGGTGATCAAACTTGCCGGCACTCCACAACGTGCACTCCTCAAAACTCACTTTGCAATCATCCTGGTTAATCGGACCTGGATGTTAGTGGCATTTGTCTTTATAAAAGCGCATCTGAGCCATTTATTTTTCCTGGCAGGTTTTCACGGCCTGTCGGACGTAACAGGGTCTATGCGAGTCCAACCACTTGCGTTATTGGCACTTAAACAGATGGGCTTTAAGAATACATGCCGACATTAGCAGCAACACAGCCGCAAAGGCGAGCATCCCTAATCACATTATAACGCTTCTAAGCTTCAGTCATGAATTTAAGTTGGAGACTGATTTTTACGTTGGGATGTTCAAGAGAGTAGTCGAAACAGGTCCACGGACATATTCACTCGAGCAATAGAAAGCATGCCCCCGAAGTAGTCAACTGCGTGCTATGAATTGTTCAGTAGCACTTTGAAACTCTCACCACACATTCGAGTGCCAAATAACTCCCCAGCATAAGTCAGGTTAGCGATTCTTTCTGCCAGCTAGACCCACTAAAGAAGACAGCCCGTTAACATGTTTAACTACTCCCCCAGCGATGTGTTTCACGGAAGCGTATCTTTTCTGGAAGATGGTTATTTTGATAAGTTCTCGTACCAATCTGCATCTTAGCCTTTCTAACACCACTGAACGTCCGAGAGTCTACTGCCACCGCACTAATGCCGCTCTGTCCACTCCTAACCTCTCACGCATCTAAACCCCAATACCCGGCTGAACATCGATGTAGCAGACAAAGATGAACACTTAACTCCCCCAGGCGGCGAGTGGGCTTGTCCGTGCGATCAGATAAGCTGAGTGGTCGTAAATGTGATTTTGCCCACCCTTGCAGAGCGGACTGTCTCGGTTGTAGATCCTGTCTAAATTATCGCATGATCAAAACTTGGGCACGTGCTCGCGTACGCACCTCGTCACCTCCCTCCTCCCACCAACTTCACGAACATATATAAATACGGAAACCATCGAACATGCAAAGCACACGGGGGCGCTCTTGGTGGGTGGGGGGGTTCTTCTGGTGGCAACTGTACTGAGCAGAGCTTTAAATGGACACGTCAGCTGTGGATCAGACAAGTTAATTAAATTTAATTTGAATTTTAGTTTCCAGTTTAATAAACATTGACTCGTGAGTTCTTCATGACGCACATTTCGAGTTAATGGGGTGGAGTTACTGGTAACGAGCACTAACTGAGCTCAAAAAACCAGAGAGTTGATGCGATCTTGCCGTGCCTAGACGATACCAGCCAAGCACCCATGAAACCGCCAGAAAACGCCAACAACGGGTTTCAGTTATTGCTAAATTATTAATTTGGGACCGTTATACAATAACTCGAACATGAAAACCGGGCGACTGAGGGTCATTTCAGTTATATTAGGGGTGAAAACGTGATTGGCTAAAGAAAATGACGCAGTATCATGTGCCTAGGACGATCTGCGTTAGTACTTGTCCTAAAACCAAAAAACCAACCGACATGTTTAAACGTCTTAGGCAGCTAGACCTGCAAGTGTCTAGTTACAATACGTGTTAGCTTAAAGTGCAATTCCAGGGCATCAGATAGGCGGCAGCATGCGGACTTTCAACTGAGGTTATTAGCGGACATCAGTAGGGAGAAAACTCCCTAGTAAATTACTACTTATTTAGCACGCAATTATGTGGTTCATTTTCACTTTAGACGGCTCTGCAACCACAATATACTTCAAAACGTTCCGTGAAAAATGTCTTGCATAGGGGAAGAACAGGTCATGAAGTTGTAAAACCCAAGCCTACGGTAGGGAATGTCTAAAGTCGTTTACCGGATCTTGCGCTGTTGCGGACAGAGCAACTACGTCGGAGAAACTGGGGATCGCTTCAGACACAGATGGCCGAGCACGCAACAGCGGTGGGGAGGGAAGACGCCAGATCTCAACTGGCGGTCCATCCCACTAAACCCGGCCATATTTTCAAATTTCAAGAGGTCGAAGTCCTCGTAAGAGCTGACAGCCGCGTGATCCGTGATCTGCTCGAATCCTGGTTCTCAGGCCCGAAATGCATCAACAAGCGCAATGACCCCCCGATACCATATTCGGCGCTGAGCCATTCCCCGGTGTGGATGGGGCGACAGCTACGCATTATAAATACTGCAACCTTTGTGCCTTTAATACCTTTATCAACGATTGTCTCTGAATAAACATTTGAAACTTCAGGCGAATAAACTTTCTGTTGCATTGATCGCATTTTCTTCTAAACCGCTTCCTGGGACTCGCCTGTTTACTTCTATCGGTAAGAGAAGAAAGTACTTTGTTACAAGGAACATTTGGGAGTTTTAGAAGTCTTGTAAATCCTAAAGGCTAATACATGTGACGTAGTCTCCGACTGTTGAGTTATGTTGATTGTGAAGTATGCAACTTCCATCCTATCCCCTGCAACAGCCTACGGGCCTCAGGAGCCTTCTTTGAGGGAATATGAAAATAACCGTGGATTCACTTCTGGGAAATTAGGCAGCATTCAACGTAGGGACCTTGAGAACCAAAAATCCAAGGCGTTTAAAAACACGCAGAGACTAGCAAATACTCTAGAGACAAAATGAGCTCTGCGTCAGATTGGGCGTTTGAGTGAAGCCTTACTCCCTGCGGAACGATCGCACTGTATTATGACTGCCCGTTTTTCTGGGAGGCACCCCGAGTTTGTAAGTAATAAAAATAGCGGCCCTGCTAATAATGCGATTTTCCTCCGCCTGAGCAACACAGTTGATTAAAATAATGCCTACTCGAATTCCAGTAAGTCACCACGCCTGGTCGATATTTAATTAGCTCCGGCGCAGACTGTAGATACTGCCGTGTCGTAAAATAAGAGTCGCATGCCGCTTCCGCTGAAGTGTCGGCGAAAGTTGCGATAACACCAAATTGGATATCTTCGCTTCAATAGTGCTGCAGTCTACGTTTTCCGTTAGCCATCTATTCTAGTAAAAAATCATATGATAAATAAAAAACCAGAACGATGCATTTGGTGAAACGCTTCCACATAGGAAAAGACATCCTGACATGAATCCAAGGCAGTCAGCTGACGAACTAACTGGATGTGCGTGAACATCCACGATAGAAATAGTGCTGCTCTATGCAAATGAGAAGGCTTTTGAGGTTTCCCGCACTGATCTTCTCCTCCGTTTCTAACACCTGGCAGGACGATAATTCCTCAAGCAATCGTTCAAGGCAGTTTTTGCTGGCAGGTTTTATTTACGCGCTTTCGCAGAAAAAGCGCTCTTTCAAAACGAAGGAGGACTTTAAAATACCAGTTAACAACTTATTAAATACAGGAAATCAAGTTTCTTGTAAGTCTAAATGGAATTCATGTGAAAGTCAGGTCAGGACATAAGCTCACGTTCACTGCTAACCGTTAAGGCATCATTACTTCTCCAATGGCAAGGATTTATTTACCTAATTCAAAAATTTTATAACCAGCGCGTTTTGTGTAACACTCAAGCCCGATTACGCAATGAGAGATCAATTTATGTTCCTACAATAGAATATAATGCTGTCGGAATTAATGACATTGCAGTCACAAAGAAGTCCGGACTACCACTCTATTCATCTGCATTATATTACGACAACTAATGTGTTCGCTAATGCTAACCATTAGATAGTGCCCCGCGTAAGGCGCTTGATTGGCAAATGGACAAAATCTGGGAGAATTTTAATGGCAAACAAAGGCAGCATCCCAGGCTAGAATGCGAGGGTCATTTCGGTCTAGAGGAAAACTTTTCCAATTAAAACATATACAGATCCAAAAAGCAGAATTTTTTCGTTTGTATTTCAATAGGTGCAAAAAGGAAAGCCGGGAAAATTCAGAGTCCTTTACAACCGTTCCTATAGACGAATTTAAATAGACTTTACTGCCCATAGGGCAAGATATCACACCACAATTGACAGTGGGATAAGTAGACAAAAATCTTTCAAGCAGAAACGTTTTTCCCAAACGTGATATACTAATGACCTCGCCTGTAGGTTTAAATGCTTCCAGCGGGGTAAATCCAGCAGTTTGTCTAAAATTTACATGTAAAGAGATTTATAGACTGAAGGTAATTAACGAAATTCTGCTGCGATTTAATTTTCCTCCTGTTTATATGGTGGTTATCTAATATCTGAATGCGGCAGCTCCTAAAAACCAGTTAATAAAAGGAATTCAAAGCGGACTTCTACTATCGCACTGGACATCACCCCCAACTTCTGCTATCTCAAATCTCTGTGATGCTTGACCCCGGATAGAGATCTCGACAAAATATATGCAAATCACAGACGAAAAATAACTGAACGCAGACTCACTTGAAGTTAACTGCATGCTGTCTGGTCAGAATGCGAACAAATCATATGTAACACGGTGCCTCCTGGATTTAGTAGCCTGGCACAACGGGAGTGCGATCTCAAAGTAGTCAAAAAGTGTGAAAGTAGTATTAACAGCCCATTTCTCTATTTAAACTGCAAGCCAACTATAGCTAAGGATCTAGAAATTTGTCAGACTGATCTAACTTATTTATCTAACTCACTGGTTTATAATGCTGAGCGCTTAGTATCCTTCTAAATCCTCAAGATATATCGGAATTCACAGTCCCTTGATACTTCGTTCTCTTCTAAACGGCATTTCACTTTGAACGGAGACACAGTCTACACTGCAATTACAGCCCGTGCTTGGTTTCTGCCCTGCTGCTTGGATTTTAAATGCAAATGCAATTTTTTCTGCGGGTCGAAAAATACTTAAAAGGGTTAAGGCTGCTTTGACTATCTCACTGACTTCGACAATAGTCTTATGATTCGTTATCTAAATGGACAGTAGATGTAAAAAAGGTTCTATTTCGATGTTTTAATCATTACCTCGCCAGTTCTAGGGCCTTATAGACCAGCTCGTCATTTCTTTCACTTTAAATCCGATGTTAAAAGACATTACGAAATTAAGAGCTCGAAGTGTCATATGCAATGTGACTCTGCGTTCACAGACTGCTTAGACGGAATAAACAGAAAGTATTTTCTCGGGACAAATCAGACGTGCAACTCTATCTCAAGTTCTCAAGTCCTAAGTTATTTTGATTTCCGATGATTTAACCAATAAAAACAAACCCATTGTCATTTAATAAGGTATATGTCAAAGCGCTGGGCCAAACATGCTCCTTCAACAGACTGTAAAATGCCAGAATTACGTCCTTTAATATGAAACCAATAGAGCACACCATGGACTATTGGTAGGAGGATGATAGGATTTCCAGATAAAGCTGGAGGTTTTCATCGGTTTTTAGCATTGGTCTCGTATTCTATATATTACGTTTCCTGGACCAAAGTTGAATCATTAATGCTCAAAACACTACTGTTTAGAAAGGCGACTGGCTGCAAACTTGATAGCACAAAGAAGGCAAAAGGACTGCATGGATAAAACTGAAAATTTAAATTTGACATGTAAAACGTAAACTCCCTAGTACGTTTTGAAGATAGGAATGCATTTTGATATGCTTACCTCGAAAGGTGGCGAAAACAAAGTAAGTCCGGACTTATGTGTTTGCCAAGCAGCGTTTTCCGCCTTGCGATCCTTAAAACTGAGATTTTGTGGATCCAGCGATCGAACTGCTGCAATCACATATGTGAGGGCCGAATTTTCTGTGCCAGGTTCGTCCAAATCTGTAGCATTAAGGGTGCAAACTACTCCTCCTGCGAGTGCCGATTCGGAAATACTGAAGTAGTGAAACGGGGCAATCTCTGGAGCATGATCATTAACATCCAAGATTCGCAAAGAAACTGCCACGCTGGAGGAAAGGCGTACAGCCGACGGTCTTCCGGCCTGATTCACACCATCTCTAAGCACTACCGTGAAGTTGTGCCGGTCTGCAGTCTCCCGGTCCGGCTTTTCAAGCATTCCAGCAGAGTTTGGTCGCTGGGATCCCCGAGGTGGACTTATCATCAGCCAGCCGCTAGCAGAATCAATCCCAACCCAAGGTGGGGCGTCCGCGGAGAGCTGCCACTCTACAGCTGCATTGGGTCCTTCGTCAGCATCGTATGCCTTCAGCTGACAGATCTGCGTATTGGGCAAGGCATTCTCGGTGACTTCACACTCTATCACGCTGTGTTCAGCATCCAAAAAGACGTTTCCATTAGGTGAAGCGACTGGCACATTATCGTTGATGTCGAGCACTTTGACATAAATGCTCACAATTGAGGTTAGGCGGTCCTCACTACCTCGAATTCCGCTGCCATATGCCGTCAAGTCAAGAAGATTAAGTTTCTCCTCCAGAGACTTAACGCCGTCCACACAGACTAGGCGTAGTTCATATGAACTCTGTTTTTCACGATCTAGAGAAACTGCTGTCAAGATCTGATAGCCAAAGTTCTGTTTGGCGGACCAAGCGGATCCACCGTCAAGAAGGGAGTAGGCATTTTTCATTAGATGAAAGGAGGCATTCTCGCGAACCGGCAGACTTAGACCGCTGCGACGGGCGTATTCTACGATTTCGCACTCCACCCGACCACCTGCGCCCGTGTCAGGGTCCTCTACCGTGACTGTCGCAATGAGCTCTAATGGCGGCAAATTCTCTGACACAAAAAGCGTGTTCTCTTGAGGCCCATTGCCACCACCGACAAACATCGGACTAATGGCTTGTAGGCCGTTGGCTGGCATCGGGGAGGATATACCGAGTACGGTTATTTTCGGGGCGTTATCGTTGACATCGTGTATCCAAATTATGAGACTAACGACAGGACTACTGCGCTGCTGCGACTCGTCCTTTGGTGAGTCCACAGCCTTGATGAAGAGTTGAATTCCAGAGGCCTCACTTTCGTCCGCGTTAGCTTTTCGAAGGTGCAGCTGTTTCGACAGGGTCTCATAATCCTGTGGCATGTGACGCAAACGTAGTATGCCCGTATGTGGGTCCAGATGAAGGAAGTTGTTGGGCACAAAGTTGTCGTCTCCTTGTCGTTTAACTGTTGGCACTTCACCACTCGAAGCCATCAACAAGTAGCGTATTTTGGCATTAGGACCTATGTCCTCATCCTTGGCATGCAGCCGAAGAAGTTCGCTACTGCGTCCGTTACTGTCCTCTCTAATATCCAGAGTTAACGACTGACCGAGTGTGAATTCTTTCGGAGAGACCCACACCGGACTGTGGTCATTCACGTCTAAAATGTGCACACGTAATTCACACACGGTTCTTGAAAAAGCATGCATGTTTGCTTGGGCTATATCAGCGGCACCGGGACTGTCCCACGCCGCATACTTTACCACATACTCACCCAAGAGGTTAGAAGTTGGTTTTTTCGGTGGGGAGAGTTTAAATTGACGATGTAAATGTAGCTGTACGGTCACTGAACTCCAGGGGGCTTCACTGTGAGTGTGGTCGACAATATCCAGCACAAAATGATCCTGACCATCATTATCACCTTCACCAAAACTGGCCCGTTCGCCAATTTTCCGTACTCCATATATGCCGTGTTGGCTCGTGTCTGCATCCGTGATCAACCAAGAAACCAAAATGTCGCCAACCCTGGCGTTCTCATAGATCTCAATAACAGGCGTCGTTGACTGGGTACCGTCGATAGCTGATGCTGGACTATGACACTGCGGACGATTGTCGTTTATATCCTCGACAGTCAGCTGGGCAAAAATGAGCCGAAGTTTACGACGTTGCCGAACTTCCTCATTTATTTCAGCATCGGAGGAGAATTCAATTGCCCGCAGCCTGAGTTCCAGCACACATGTCTGAGCGGAGGACCTACTGGAGGCGCCCGCGCTGGTACCGCCACTTTGCGCACCGAGGTTAGACCAAGCATCAAAGGCACGCTGCTGGCATATGGTCTCCCTGTCGATCCGTTTGATCACAATGAGTTCTGACTTCAAATTTATTCGAAAGAGGTCGGAATTAACCGTGGGAATGAGGTTAAACTGGCGTGAAGTAGGCTGCAGTTTTCTCAACGATCCCGTCAAATTGCCCCGGTGACGCAAATCATACTGAGTAAGAGCCTTGTCCAAGTTCAAGACAACATGTGCGAGCGGCAGTTCTTCAGCAATACTTTCCTTGAGAACTATTGTGTCCGCCAGGCTACTTAAAGTCGTTTGAGAAAGGCACAGCAAAGGTCCTTTTAGAAGAAGGAGGGAGAGGAAGTAGAACTGGGAGCCCCATGTCCTACGCTGCACACAGGGGACTTGCAGGATGGATATAAACACTTTTGTATGCATGTGAGTATGGCTTCCTATAGTGCAGCAGCGGGCATCTAAACATGTGCTCAAAAATGTGGCGGGTGCGCCTGTAAACACGAAGAGGACTGCGCCGATATGATTGGATAAGCCGTGGCGGCGGTGATTGCCACAGCCTGCCAGAAACTCCCTCGTGCAGGTGCACTGCTCAAATCCTGACCGGAGTGGCCAATGAGAAGGCTTGCGCCTTCAGGCGAACGACGCATGCTGATCCACAATAACGTTAAGCTCTGTTTTTATAAGAAAGAGCAATATGGTTGGGAAGTCACAAATTAAAATATGAACATTGCACGTAAGGGCGGCAGCGGAAGAGGAAGAAAGGTGGTAGTTCCTGACGGATATTTCAATACTACCCGCCAAAAGGTGAACTTCAAAAGGGGAAAACAAAGTTTGTTCATGTCAGTTGGTTGTTGTCTCGAGAGACTAAAACATTTATTTTGAGGATGAAAGGCAAAAACAGGAACTCCGAGTTTAATGTATTCAAGAAGATGGGGATTTGTTTAGTTACGGAAAGTAATTCAGTCTTCCTTCTTTCAGATAGGGGGTAAGTGCTTTATGGAAATGTAACGGCATCATCATACTGTTGTTTCATGAACAGAAAGATGGCAACGACCGAATAAAATGCCAGAGAATACATTTTTATCTCTTGGCGAAAGCTGGCCCATGTTGAGCGGGAAGCTATAGAGTTTATCACTGCTATTGCGAGAGTGACGTCTTGAGGTTTCAGTGTTCAGCCAAGACGAATCATCACTCCAACTGTTCGAATGTGATAAGGCATTTCACTATTACACTTGTAAGCTGGTGTACATGGCAGGAACTCTGCAAAAGGCACAAATTCTCTATACCGTCAGCTTACATTTTGACGCATTTTAACCTGTGATTAAGTACCAGCGCGAAAAGATGCATACCACTTCTATTGTTTACATCAATGAAGAGGGACTGTATGTGAAGTCAGTAAGCTCTCCTTGTGGTCACTGCAAAGAACAGCTGACCATAATACGCAATCTTTTCTGTGCAAAATGCCTTGTTGAATAGGACCGAAGAAGCCAATAGCAGTTCCTATTTAGTAGAATCCAAATTAGTTATGGTTGAGCATTAGTAGTTTATGTTCAGACATTACAAACAGAAAAAGTGCAAAATAGACGAATATTAATGTGTACCACTATTTTACGCGGAAAAGTTAAGGATAAGTTGCCCCCCAGACCACTTCACTGTGCATCTATTCCCTCACTTGCTCCTGTTGAGCAGGTTATATTGGTCGCACGAGTCGGCGCTTATCCAAGAGAATACGGGAACACCTCCCGGCATGGCTGGGAAAAGGCGAAACTAGGAGCATAAGTAGCGCCATTCTCGAGCATGTCGATTCCGGACATCATGTAGACACCAATGAAGCGTTCCGTGTGATCTATAAGGTCCCATCAAGCTATCCTAAACCACTTGGCCAGCGCCAGGTAGCAACAGCAAAGGCGGCCGCCATCATGTTGTGAAAACCAATCTTGTGCGCACAGACGAACCACGTTCAGGCTCCGCGCATACAGTGGTCGAAGGTCGACTAACGCTGCAACTCTCCCCGCGCCCTTCCGCTCTCACCCCGCCCATGACAGTGACTGCTAAAAGTCCTCCCCCCCTCTCCCACATTCCCACACCCGGCATGTGTTTCAAGGCGAACTTTATCTTATCACTGACGTGTTTTTACTTCTACCCCGTTCCCATATAATTGTACTGACCCGACGAGAATTTATCGAAAGCTACGTATGCTCGCCACCTCGTCTTCTGACTATTAATGTGTACCACTACATATCAGCAGTTCAAATTCTGACATGTAAACAGATTAGCGCGATGGCATTGTCCACAGCATCACCTACCAAACGTGGCTCAAGACGCCTTGCGCAAAACTTAGAAGAGGCATACGATAAAAGGCAGGGTCGGCTCGAAAATGAACGCCCCATGAAGTTTTTCCATACGCGGGTGAAAAACTCACTTTGTCTTTACTCGGGAGACCCACGATCTGATAAATGGGGCACGGTTTGGATACTCAGCCCTCGAACTAATGGCGAAAATGGTCGTGCAGGGGCTAGATTAGGCCACTTTCAGCCAGCATGAGCCGGTCTCTTCAGGCCCTTTCGTTGCCAGAAAGTACATGCCGCCACATTTCTACAACTCGCTCTGCACAATCCTTCCGGAAACTAAATTCACTGTGGAAGGATAAAAGGAGCAATACCTGCTCTTTCTTGATGTGCAAATCAGATAATGTCTTGACAACGGAACTAAGACAACAGTTCTGTTGAAGACGGTAGACTCCACCCAACTTTTCATCCTCACCTGCAACCTGCTAGCAGTACGGAGAGCACGCTGTGTAAGAACGTCCTTCGGGCAGACCCAGACTTACAGCTGTGATTCAGAGAATAAAGTGCGTGAGACCCTTCATTTCTCGGACTAATGTATGCGGAATGACACTCTGAAAGTCTAAATAAGCCGGCGCCTATATGTTCGTCCTTGATACTTCAAGCTAAAACGTTAACGACGACATCTATTGCGGATGTCTCAAAACCAATAGACCGTACTGCCAAAATCGGGGATGGACGTTTACACCGACCAAAAGCTACCCTGAATAAGCATATTATGAGACGCAAGGACCAACTAAACCCCACGTAGCACTCAGGCGTAAGGTACCGTACCTCGTTTTTAGACCGAGTTTTTCACTGCAGAGGCTAGACAGAACGCAATCTTTAATTGACACTGACTGTACAGCAAAGTAAGAAAGTATCACAAGTAGTTGCCCACATATCTGAAATGGGTCTCGAGTTCGACTTTGCAGCTACTGAGATTTTAAGGAGACCGCGGTCTTTCACAAGAAGCCAGCCAACCAACATACTTGTTTTGGGCCCTCATACAGAGTCCATCGCGGTCATTAACAGATTTTGGGAAATAATTATTCATAGATTGCAGTTTCCTATAGCTGCCGTCTTTGGCAATGGCCTCCCGGGGGGGGGGCTCGAAAGCTCAGAAAAATAAACAAACATTTCCAATGCCCAAGCCGGCATTCTTCCTTTTTCTTGAACCTCAAACAAAAACTCAAATAATTGCCTCCACTTGGTAAACACTAAGGGCGCAGTTAGACTCTTTGCGACTCTCAGGACGACATCTTAGAATTCTTGAACTTCCATCATGCCCTTCCCCTGCTCAGCCTCTAAAAAACGTTATCACATACATTTTGGCCTTCTTGGGCTATGACCTATAGTGGAAGGCGGATGCGCTGCATACGATTTGATAATTTAGTTAGCATTATCTTCCGGCATGTTTTTCTAAGTGCCGATCCTAAAGCTGCCATTTCTAGGGGAGAAACACATCAAGTTACCTTGCACTACTTTTCCAATCAAACGTGTTTAAAGTGAAGCAAGTGAAAGGTTTCTTCAGTCATAATTAGTGGATGTGTTTATCATTAATGACTTAAGTGGCTGAAGTTGGGGAAAGTGATGCGTTTTCTGCACTCCGGATGCAGGAAGAGAGAGAAAGCACTTTTTTGTTTTTAAATAGTGGGTACTTCTGTCTACGCCAGCAGCAGGAAAGAGCGCTTGTTGCCAAATTTCGGCACAAAGATAAGGGGATTGCGATAGAGGAAGGAAGAACACTCTATTAGCAGCCACGGAGATGCGAGTGGGGTCATCGGCACCCAAATTAGTTCACCTCATAAATTTATTGCAAAAGTTGTTGAATGACATCCTGAACCCTCTTTACTAACGTCTGATTAAAACCATTCGTAGGACAATGTTTTTGTGATTGCCTGAATTGTTCCATCATTACCAATAACAGCCAGAGGCCACTGTCTGCCTTCGAAACCTTCAATTAGAAATTAATATAACGATCATAGCAATATAAAAAAACTGCCATTCTTTGGACTGCCAGTGCAGAGAAGAATGCTCATCTGCAAAAAGCGTACCCCGGCTACTAATCAGAGGAAACGCATCTCACCTGCACATTCGCTCCCATCAACTAGTGCGGAAGGCCTAGACCCTATCTACAGGTCTCGGGGACTGGCGCTGTCACCATTTTCAAATAAGCGCAT